AGTTAGATTATTTTCTTCCTTTCTAATGTGGAATGAGTGAACATGTCCATTATCGGTGTAGTCTGAGTGCAATTTCAACGCTATTACATTAACCCTAATAAACTGAGACTTAAAAACCAATATGACACAAAATACAGTTTCCACATACAAGTTTGATAATTAGTGCAGCCTTGTAAGTACACTAGATGTACAGCATATGAGAACTAATTTGTCATGAAATACTTCCAAGGAAAATAATAGTAAAGTACTCAAATTATAATGATATATATCCTCGAGTGTATATATACTGTATATATATATATATATATATATATATATATATATATATATATATATATATATATATATATATATATATATATATATATATATATATATATATATAGTGTATTTGAAAATAAACAACGATAGTCACAACCCAAAATAAAATATCACATCACTCGGTGATATGATTCCTAAAAGTACGATCAACATGATTGTTAACAATTTAAATGTATGAATTCAATATAGATACGAGTCAGTACAAATGCTCGGGGGCCATTTTTTTAAACTAATGGTGGAAATTGCAATTCGAAAATGAAACGCAACATTAATGTATCATGCTGTAAAAAACACCCGTCTCTCCCCTGCCCCAAAAGTCGTGTTTACGTCCATTATTCAGAATATGTGGGATCGTACATCTTATATACAAGCTTCAGATACATATGATCGTGCACCTTCTTTTATTGCACATAGTCTCCCGCTGTATAGGATTGCACACCTCCATCTGAGCTTCTTTACAAAGGTTTTTAATCTCCACCACACTCCCTCCCGCTCTTACCGCTTCCTCATCCCCACTGAGCGCTCTTGACCTTCACAGAACAAGATCAAATATGAACTAAAGGGTGCCTATGTCTAGCACGTCCTGGGAGACCTTCACCTCTCTCTCTCTCTGTTGAAGGAGACATTGGTAGGGTAGTTAAGTGACAGGAAATTTGAGAGACGAAGTTGGTAAAATGTCGTGTCTTGTTTGTCGGTGTCAACAGTGTGTTTTCGCGACTTTTCTTTGGAAGTGTCGCAAGTGAGAGTTGTGCTGGTATATCGCGGCTGCTAGTCACGGGGATCCTCTTAATGTTGTTTGTATTTCTCATGAGCGAGTTTGTATCTTGCTGTGTTATTTGTTTGCTTCTGATGCTTTTTTTATTAAGATTATGATTACTGCTGTTATTGTGTCTGACATTCAAATATATCAGGGAAAATATGCTTCTTGAGCCTCCTGATGCGGTACACAGTTCCTCTTACACGACTTCCATGCCAGATTGAATCCAGGGTTCATCTCTTTTTTTTTCCTCGTGTGACGTTAATTAAAAATATATAAACATCTCAGCAAATATGACTTCCAGACTTCCAGACTCTGCTCAATGGGAAATCGGTGTTTATTTTTTGTAAAAAAAAAGTATTCCACAAACGTAATTATACAAGCACTATACTGTATATATATGTATATATATATATATATATATATATATATATATATATATATATATATATATATATATATATATATATATATATATATATATATATGTGTGTGTGTGTGTGGATGACCAAGCCCAAAATTTGCATATGAAGATTACGGACGCAACACGTTAATCACTTCTGACCTTTAGCGACCTTGGCAAAAATGTCCAAGCCTAAATTAAAAAACTAAAATTTTCACAGACTCCTTTACTTTATTTTTAACTCCGGACTGATATTACTTTTCTAATAACGTGGGTCACAGTTCATTAGATCTTAAGAAAGAAGAGTTGCAATTACTGCTAATTACTACAGGTAATATATTAAAAAAAATCTATCTCTTCCTTTTTTCTGTTTGTCTGTCTCTTTCCCTCGGTTCATTTGTTTTACCTCTTATCATTTCAAGACATGAAACCTAGATCTCGAAATAATCAGGAAGACTGCAGACAATTTCACTTATCTACCAGAATCAGTTTAATTCGTCAGCTCAGCAAGAACCGTAACAAACTTTATAATTTCATGTTTTCAATGTAAATATAATTAGGATGACCACAAAGAGACGAATCAGAATTAGGAATATAATTTTGGCTTTGACCAGATATTACCGAGTCCTTAATCAATATCTTGTGACTCGGCAGCTCAGTGGAAACAGAATTTGCCTCGCCTCCGAATGGTTACGGGTTCGTTTCCCAGCTACATTTGGAGGCCTGGGTTTCTTTCTTATACACCCAGCCATAAAATGAGTTCAATATTGGATGCGCTGATTGATGATGGAACACCGCTTTAGTGGACTAGCATCCTATACCAAGGGAATGAGGCAACCTATACAACCTGCTGAAATATAAGACAATTATTCTTGGACTGACTGACTATAGCATCGTGCCAGAGAGGGTGAAATAAAACACTTAGCTGTTGGGTGATAATGAAACAACCTCCGAGTGGACTAGCTGCTGAATGTTACGAATTAGATCATACTTAGGTTGTTCGCCCACTCTCATATCATAACAGTAAAGTTTGTAAGATAAAATGGAAAAAAAATTGCTTCCTGCCATTTGGGATACAAGGGAAGGGGCTCTACCAATCTCTCTCGGTCAACATATTTTATTTTATTTTTTGTATGTTTTCTTTCTTATATCTATGCTTAAAATTTGTATTATCTCTTTTTTTATTCTTATTTCTTTTTTTATTCATCTTAGTCAGTCAATTCTTATTTTCTTAATTATGTTATTATCTTATTTTTTTACATTTCTTCTCTACTGATTCATCTGATATTCTATCTTGACTAAATTATTTCTTAATATTGTTTTAAATTTCTATTATTTCATCTGATTTCCTCTTTATATTTGTATTCACTTTTTCATAAATTTTATCTTACTTGTTTTTCTCTTTGGCGGCCTGGAACTTAACTTTTAGTCCAGGTCAATCCATCTTTATATCTTGAAGGTGAACTGAGACGCTACGGGGAGTGGTGGCGACTTGCTGTATGGGTACGTATATATATAATAAAACTCACAGCCTCTCTGAAAATCCACTCAAAACAGCCCGCCATCACATAAACACACCTATCCCAATAATCACACTCTCAACCACACTCTAAAAACAAACTATAAAACCTACACATACACGTCACTAAACATTTCCTCAAGCCAAAACAACGAACACATACAGTACCTGCCCAACGCTCTCGCTAGGCTCGCATATAAGCAAAAAAAAAACAGCATACACCTGATAATCATACAAACAAAACCATGCAAACACCTCCCAATCATACAAACGCACGTACACCAAACATATAAACAAACCCACAATCCCCCCCCTCCCCAAATACCGCCATCATATGAACACATTTAAGAAAATATTCAATTACTCCAGGGTCAATTAGGACAATTAATTATCAAAATTTCAACATTTCGACACAGATCCTGATTCAGCATGCTTAGGACGACCTACAGATATACTGAGATTTTAAGAAACTTAATTTTTCATTCCCCCAAAATTGCAAGATATACCAACTCACCTTTAATAGTCATGTACACACCATATAGACACCCACAACCACCTCCATACTCATTCTGTGTGTGTGTGTGTGTGTGTGTGTGTGTGTGTTTAATATATGGGCATATGCAGGGTTAAGCGTGAATGAGCAGGACTAGAAAAGGTTGGGGAATAGTAAAAGAAATATGAATCGAGGAAAATGAGTAATTATGTTAATACAGTGAGAGAGAGAGATTATAATCACATCACACTACAGTATATAAAACCAACACATCGATACATATCAATAAAATAAAGTTCAAAAATCCTACTTTATCTTCCCCACACTGACTTCCCTTGTAACTCCCGACCACGCAACCCAACCAACATCCTTCCTTGTTTTGAAACCTTAAAATAATTTGGCCCTAAAGTTCCCCCTTCTCCCTCCCAAACTTTTGTCCTGTTGGCTCTAGTGAATTCCACACACTACCACCTCCCAGAATCCGCGGCATCAAGTTTCCCCTAGTCTTTTCCCACTCATCACATCCTCCCCTAAATTTTCCCCTAACCCTCACTTTTATATCACAATTTGATACATCTCTTCCCCAGAACTCTTCCCCATTTCCCATACTTTCATTCCATCCCATAAATGCTTTTTCCCCTAAACTGTCCCTATTGTACTTTTATTCCTAATTTTAATCTTTCCCCTACATTATTGCCCCCCAAATTCCTCCCTAACTTTCCTCCTTTAGTCCCTAGTTTTCATTCCTTCTTGTACATCATTATCCCCTAATAATTCCTCCTTATCTTCCCTAGTTTCATGTTTCCCTTTAAATTCGCTTCCAATTTCAACTTTTTTTTCTCCTAAAGTTGCAGGGAAAATATAATTTTCTCCTTGCTCAATTGTCCCCCTTCTAGTTCTCTCTAATTCAAGGACATTTTCCTTCCTTCGTTTAACTTCTCTCTCTTTTTCGTTTTCTCGTTAAAAGCAAAATCCTCAGTTATCTCTCAAGTTCGTATTCTTACCCCACCTTCAAAATGTTGTTGTTATTGTTATAAGATGAAGAGGAACTAACTCCTCCTGATCATTAAAGATTAACTCAGGTAGTCTTGACCCATATCGTTGCGTCTAATTATGGTATCTATAAATTATCTTCACATTCCTTCAATTTTAAGATCCCCTTCAATAAAGTTTTTTCTATTAATACGATGAACTAGATATAACACCTGGTCCAAAAAGTTGGTATTCTTTGTTAAGCAGTAATACAGGATGAACTGATGTGAACCTATCTTACTATGTACTTTGTTTACGAAATGAGTTTGATGAGGAATAATTACATTTTAGGTGTGTTTTTCAGTCGTTTTTTTAGCTGTGTTATTTTATATAGGCTAAGGTATCAACTTATTTTTTGTAAATGAAAAAAAAGGAAAGAAATCACTGTAGTTGTACTGTAGATAATCTTTTTGGGGGGATAAATATTCAATTGTTTCAGTTTCAATATGGTTGATCCTCTCAATACATAACTCACCTTAGATCTGGTGTGGGGGTGAGCGTCCTCCATCTCCTCCATCCCAAGGCAGGAGAGGAGAAGCTTAGACACGAAGATCCTGAATGAGATAATTGTGAATGGATCTTGAGGGGGACGAGTTGAGCAGCAACAGGTACCCCTCTGCTGAGCTACCAGAAGATACCAGGTGAGTAAGGACACAAATGAATACCTGGTAACCAGTAGATATGGTTCCAGGTACCAAGAGCAGGCGTTGATTTTGGGTACAGTAATCAAAGGACCGGTACCAAAATGGAATGATCCATGGAATAGGGGTGCTATCCGAGGACACAACGAGTCCTTATTGGTGCGCATTCATCTTGTTGGCGGGTGTTGGCTGAGTCACAGACGTCCTGTTGCATGTTATCCCGTTCACTCTCTGTCCCAATACTATTTGTTAAAAGTATAACAATATTACTGGTTAAATTCCACCAATGATAAAAAATTCAATTGAACGAGACCTTATTTGTTTGTAATGAAACCACACTACAATTTGAGTCGGTAAGAAGGCTATCTGATCACCGTGTTTACAAAACTATATCACATATACACACGTTTCTGTATTCACTAATTACATTAGCCCATTTTTGTTTCAATGAAAACTATTACAAAGACCTTTAAGAACACGAACAAGTAACTATGTTCTGATAGCAACCTCATAAGAATATTAGTTTTTACCTAACATCTTTATATATCACTTAATTTCACTAAACACGCACTATGAATAAATCTATTGACGAATATTTTCTTTCACATTTTACACAGACGCAATATCTGCCGCGATCTCCGAAAAGAAAATCCTCCTGAGTGGTATTAACGAAAGCAAGTCCCGACCGGCACTTTTGACACCTGTTGCTCTCTCTCTCTACACGACCGCTACACTGACACTCCACCGCGGGAGGAGACCAGGGAGCAGCACCACCACCACCAAACACGCGGAACATACAATAAACCCACTAATACATCTTACTGTATTATTAACGTACAGAATCCACAGCGAGAGATTTTACACGAGATATGGTAACGATGTTTTATTGGGGAGGAGGATGCGTTAGTCAGGCAGTCAGTCTCTCAACTATCAGCGCGAGAGACTGTCGATGTGGTGGTAGCGTCAATGAGGAGGGAGATTCCGACTCACACCGCGGGTCACAGCCGCACGCAAACTGACACGCCGAGGGACACACCAGGGCATACGGGAGAAGTCGCCGTGACGTATGTCCTCTCCCTCTCTCTTGCTCACTCTCCCTCTCTCACTTCTCGCTCTCCTCCCTCTCTCTCCCACGCGCGCACCAGGTGAGAGCCGGGAGAGGAGAGGTGAAAGCGGGGGTGGACTGAGGAGCTAGTGAGGAGGAATAAAAACGAAAGAAGAGACAGAAGGATGTTAAGGAAGATATTGGGAATAAGAGATGCAGGTAAATAAGGAGATGAGGGAGAACGAATGAAGATGAAGGAGAGGGGAGCGGAATAATAAAGATAATAGAGACGGAATGAAGGGTAACCGAAAAAAGGAAGGGGAAGGAGAATAATGAAAATGAGGGAAAATGAATAAAGGTGAGGGATAGCAAGTGATAAAGCTGAAGATGTAAGTGAGAGAGGAAGAATAAAGGTGGTGGAGAAGGGAAAAAGTGGGAGAGAAATATTGAAGATGGAGGAAATGGAATGAAGATGAGGTAGAAGGAATGAAGTGAGAAGGAAGGAATTGTGAAGATGGGGAAAAAGAATGAAGGCTAGGGAGAAGGAATTAAGACGACAGAATGAAACAAGAGAGAAGAAATTAAGACGGTAGAGAAGGAAGTTGGAGGTTAGGAGGGAAGAATGAAGATGATGGAGAATGAAAGAATGAAGGGAAGGGATGAAAATAGTTAAAGAGAGAGAATGAATATTAAAGCCAAGGAGAACGAATGATAAATGTGAAGTAGAGAAAATAGCATGTAGACACACCTCGACAGACAGACAAACGCACTCAGACATAAATGGCTAGACATGCTAGTAGAAAAGACACACACAGAGGCAGAGAAAAAAGATGGACAGCGAAAAAAAAAGACCAAAAAGCACAAAGAAAGAACAAAAAGAGAAAGCATATATAAAAAATTCCCACAAATCAAGAACAGAACGTCAACAGGCGATAAAGAAGAGAATTGGTCAACATAATGAGAAGTGATACGAAGAAAGTAAAACCAAAGACTAATAAACAAAGAAAATGGAACTAGAGTGTAAATGCCGTGGGAACAACGAAAATAAATTGACGAAGAGGTAAATTGAATTGAAACAGTTTATTTAGCCAGATACACAGATACAGGGAGGATAATAATAACAATATTAACATGACTGAGCCAGTTGAGAACCTGAGCTCTCTTTTAGGCACCTGATATATACTATACAATTATTTCAAGGAAGTATTATGTAACATTTAGTAATATCTGGAACAGTACAATAGCATGGTACTAGAGAAATTACACAGATAACAAGAGCTGTAGCTGGAGAATGACGTTGGCCAGTCCTTATATACAGTACCATGACTCGGATGTTAGCCAGTGACCCATCTTCAGTTATGTTATTATTATTTGGTGTCACATTTTGCGTCATTTTCTTGCACCACTTTCCTGATGATTGTCTTTTTTGTTCTGTGGGCGCCTTGTCACACTCGCATATAGTGCCAGAACACGTTATTTCACTTTCGTCAACTACTAGTTCTACTTTGCTGTCACTTGGAGTATGACGACCATATAGCTATGATACAATGATATGAGTTATTAACGATTTCACCTCCGTTGGTGAGCTGAGGTGATTCGAGAGACCTACTGTATACGAAACCGACAGGGCTGTCCATACTGTAGATGTTTCATGTGTGGACTTGGGCGGATCCAAGAATATCAAAACAGAGCGGCCCAAGAAGTTGTGGGTGAGGGCGATCGGTCACGTCTCTGTTACTTTTCCTTTTCTTTTATTCTCTTCACCAAATGATCGACTCGTTAGCCGCTTGGGTGATCGGTCACGTCTCTGTTACGCACTATTGGCAAGTACTAGGCATGCACCGGCTCCTGATGTACCTGAACCTGCTCCAGTGTCTTGAAAGAGCTCACACTCGGTGCCGTCACAACACTTTCTAGTAGATTGTTCTAAGAGTTCACAGCTCTCACTCCAAAAAAGTTTGCCCTCACAGTTTTCTGGACTTGTGGCTTCTTCAATCTTGAGGTGTGACCCCTTGAGGTCAGGTCGTATATAGCGGAGGTAGGCGTGGCTTAATAGTTGACCTCCGAGACAATTGTTTGTAGGGTAGGAATCCTCTACACTTTAACGTAACTTAAGGTTTTGGGTGTTAAGTGTTCATCATGTGCATTTTCCTTGAACCAAGACGTATTTTATAACCGTTATGTTTTTACCTTTATTACTTTGAACGCCTTATTTTGTGCATAACGGGTACTGTATGTGTTGCTGGGGTTGACAAGAGTCGGTGGCCAGTGCAGACAGCCTATGACAGGATGAGGCCAACAAGGAAACTTCACTTGGATCACAGCTAGCATAATCCCGAATATCCCAGTGGTAATCCATCCTGCATGTATCAGTCTGAAGTATATTATTCCCGCTGAGAAGATGAATACCAAAGTGTCCTCTGTTGTAAAGAGGGTTAACAGGTATATTATAAGTAAGTGACAAGAGGTTGTGACGGCACCGAGTGTGAGCTCTTTCAAGAGAAGACTTGACCAACACTGGAGCGGGTTCAGGTACATTCAGGAGCCGGTGCATGCCCAGTATTTGCCAACAGTGCGTGACAGAGACGTGACCGATCGCCCGGGCGGCAAGCGAGCCGATCTTTTGGTGAAGAATATAAAGGAAAAGAGACGTGACCGATCGCCCAAGCAGCTAACAAGCCGATCAGTGGCGAAGAGGATAAAAGTAAGAGGTAAGAGTGTGCCATGGAGTACTGTCAAGTGTGTGTGTGCCCAGAGTAAATGGGTCCGACTAATTACCCAAATGTAGCCGCAATGAAGTCAAATAATGGTCCTACATAAATAAATCGGACTGCCAATCACTTCTCGACCAGTATTTGGTGTCACAAAGTAAAAAAAAAATTGGAAAACTTAATTTAATCTGAGTTAATAGATGAGTGCATGTACCTAACCTAACCCAACCTAACCTAACCTAACCTAACCTAACCTAACCTCGACTAGTATTTGGTGTCACGAAGTCACAAAAAATTGGTAAACTTAATTTAATCTGAGTTAATAGATCGAGTGCATGTACCTAACCTAACCTAACCTAACACAACTCAGATTAAATTAAGTTTACCAATTTTTTGTGACTATGACACCAAATAATAATCGAGAAGTGATTGGCAGTCCGATTTATTTATGTAGGACCATTATTTGACTTCATTGCGGCTACATTTGGGTAATTAGTCGGACCGGAGTAAATTTACACAAATATCAGCTTTGTGGCAGTTTTTTGGAGTGTAATGAAGTATTATTATAAATGATAATGAAATTAGGTGGTGAAGATTCATTGGTAAATATTCGTCCATTGACTGTTTTCAGGTTTTGGTGCAAGAATGGGTATATTTGTTTGTTGACGTTTTTCGGTGTATTACTGAAATCTGACCGTCATTTCTTGTGCAAATTGAATAATAAAATAAAATTAAAACAATTTATGATATTATTGCAGTTTCGGGCAATACGCAGCTGACTGTTTTAACCTTCCCCAACCTTTAGATCTCCTTATTTGCAGTATTCCTAACTCCATTTCAACCAGGGGACAAAGAATAATTAAAAATAGGTTAGGTTAGGTAACTTGGGGGAGGGAATAATACACCACCGACTGTTTTAACCATTTCCAACCTTTCGATCTCTTTTCTGGGAGTATTTTTAACTCGATTTCAACCAGGGGGCAAAGAATAATAATGTCGGCATTTTAAAGTTTTTCATACCTGTGGGGGGGGGGATAACTGTAACGCGGGTACATTTCCACAGAAATAAAGGTCAAATTTGATTAAACCACATCAAAATACACAGGATAAACTAATTTCTAAACTACTAGGGCATATTGGCCGAAACTGCAATTTTACCCAATTTATAAAAGAATAAAGACCTAAAAATTAAATGTATAAAGAAGGCAAAATAATTATCCCTCCACCCCCTCCCTCCCTCCACATCGGTGTGCAGTTTAGTTATGTATTTTAATTTGGTATCAAATTGGGAGAAATTAAATGTGGTGCTGTAGGTGGTAATTCACTGAATTTGTAACAATCTTTTCAGAGAAACTAATAATAATTCTTGTATACCTAATAACCATTTTAGATTATAATTAATTTTGTTCTGTAATTTTCATTGTATCAATATAATTATGTGTGAGGTAGGTAGGAACAAGTAATTATTTCACACATACAATTTTTTTTCTAGCGATAACACAGGATTTAGCAAGTGAACAATATTATTTTTTGTGTTCTGAGTGATTGAAGTAAACTACCTAACCATTTTTGTGAATTGTTTTGCTTGTGAGATTTCACAAAAGATTTAAATAGATAAAGTTTACTTGAGAGTTAGATAAGAACAACAATTATTAAATAGGGCAATAATTTTTAAGTGATAACTTGTGATTACATACAATAAATGTTTTATGGTTCAGTAAATTAATAATAATACAATGATATCCCCATAAACCAGAACAATTGGTGCAGATCACTTCCGGGAATGAGAGATTTTCAAGTAACTAGACGACTCTCAAAGCCGGAAAATATCTCTCATTCCTGGAATTTTTTGAGGCATTTTCTGGGTAACGGAAAAATGTTCTCAGAAGTTCCAAAAATTGCCCATTACATCATCTCTCAAACATGGAAAAATATCCCTGATCCCCATAATTTTCCGGGTAACGGAAAGATTTTCTCGTAATTTCCAGAAAATGTCCTTGATTTTCATCTCTCAAACCCGGAAAAAACTCCCCCATTCCCGGAATTTTCCGGGTATCGAGAAAATTTTCTCTAAATTTTTCTGAAAATGTGCCCTAAGGAAAATCGTTCCCAAAGCGGAACGATTTTTCAAGAAATTTTAAATTCCAGCAATCAGAGAGTTCCGAGTTGAGGGATTTCGGCTAATGGAGATATTACTACAGTACTGTACTGTATTAGGATTTTTTTTTAATTTAA